AGGCCCCCCCCCCCCCCCCCCCCCCCCGAAGGCCACGTGACATTCAGGCGGCGTTGGATTGGCTGCGATGGCTCCCAGCGTCCCCGGGGCTCCATGGACGCGTACAGTGGGTTCGGCGTTGGAAATTGGGTCGCAAACACAGCCCAGACACACACAACCTTCTCTAGGTTCTGGATGCAACGAAACGCAATAACAAAAGAGCCCCGCTGTCATGCCGAAAGCTGGTTTCTTTTTTTTCTTGGCTTCGTGTATCTGTCCGTTTTTTTGTTTTTTTTTTTGCTTTTTTTTTGCTTTTTTTGCCGTTTGCGTTAGGCGGGGGCGTGTGAATGGGGGACGCCGCAGCTGCGAGGGGAATCGGGCCCCGGATTCCGAGTTTGCCCCTCGCTGACTCAGAGCCCGGCTGTGCGAGTGTAGCGCCTCGCTGAGCAGGAGGGCGTCGCCATGAAACTGTCCCTCCCCCCTCCACACTCCGTTTCAGCCGAAACTCGGCCAACGGCGCAGACCCCGTGGTAGCCATTTAGCGTGTCGGAGCGAAGCTTCTGATCCACACGCACGTTGTCACGTGACTCCCACGCGCTGTGATTGGTTGGGTGGAGCCGTAGCTGTGGCCATTTGCCAAGCTACGCCGTCACCCCGAACGTCCGCCAACTACCGCTGCGAAGGATGTTTTCAAATCGTGGCGGCATCCAAAACCCGAGACAACTGAGCAGGACAAGCACGCGGATAAGAAAGGACGAACCATCGAAGGAAAAGGTTCATACTTTCACCCTTTGGAAAGCGAAAGCTTTGCTGTCATGGCGTGGTGATGACGCTCGTTTGATATGACACGCACTATTGCCACGGTGTAGACAAACGATAAAGGACAGAAAGAACTTTATGATTAATAAAAAAAAAAAGAAAAAAGAGCGCGAATGCGAGGACAAAGTAAACGGTAACTGACAGGACCTTTTACTTTGTCCTAGCTAGTCTTCGCGCTGTTCTTGTTTTTATTATGTCTGAATACCAACGAGCCCGAACTTGAAGGTTAATCGACTAAACGTTTAATGCGGCAGACTTGTGGCATATTAAACGTACACAATACTATATCTGGCTGTCGACGAGGCAGCGGGGTCGAGCGGGAAACTGACCTCGTGCGCAGCGTTCGACTGCTGATTTTATACACGGTCTGTGTTCATGAAGGTTTGAATCCGGAAAACTCTACAGCTAACGACAATGCACTGGAACTTTTCTGCGAAGCGACCGAAGGTGAAATGCGAACGGACAGCGGTAATCCGACCCCAATCGTCCGCGCGGGAGCCGCGCGCGCGCTGCTCACCCGGAGGCGTTTCGATCGGTTTCTAGTCAGCGCGGCCGGTAGCCACAAGGGACAACACTAAACGGGCCGTCCCACCAAGCGATTGGATAGGAGTGTTACGTCAGTATTACTCCAGTGTTACGTCAATGTTTCGCCAGGCTATTCGCACATTCGAGCTCGAGATCGGATCCAGTGCTCGTGGCCTCGGGAGGTCTTAGAATTCCGAGAAATCCCGCACACGATGGCGCTACCTGTCAAACCAAAGTTCACTGGCCGGTTAAAAAAAAAAAAAAAATTAGTTGAAAAAAAGAAAACGCGTTTAGATTACGGCGTAACTTTCAACTGAATTACTTATTCAAGGAAAACATATACATAAAAAAAAAAAAAAAGAAAGCGTGGATAGGGAAGTTCTGTAACCAAGTGTTAGTTTATATATGGGGTTTTCTCGAAAATTCAGTTGAAAATTATGCCTTGTCTTGTCCTGGCGTCTTTTTTTTTTTTTTTTTTTTGGGGGGGGGGGGGGGGGGGGCGTTGTACATAAGAGGCAGAGCCATTAACAGCAGGCGCAGACGCCACGAGCTGATGGGAGTAATGAGAGAGCGTCAAAAGGGTGACGTTCTTTCTGTGCGTGTTCTGTCAATCCTAAACAGAGAAGCCGCTTTCCACACTCGATTCGCCCCATTCCCTCGTAGCGTGGGCAGCGTCTGGACTTCCGCTGAAACCAAGTCTAGCTCGACTAGTCCTCTGAATTCATTGGCCGATTCATCTGCCTTCTCTGATTGGGATGGACCGACAAATTAGACCTTATAAGGTTATGTTTTGAGTAGTCTAGTTTCGAACAAAAATATTCCATGGCCATATGTGTCCAAGGTTCTATTTAAAGGTGTACTCCGCCGATTTCTTCATGGTCCCCGATTTGCTTTAAATTTTGCTAAACTCGCCAAACAACATCGCCAAAATAGTATCCCAAATATTAGGTCAAAATAATTTTTTTTTCACGAAGTTATTGAATTTACAATTTTGGTCCTTACCGTGTTTTTCAAACTGAAAGTCTCTACTGGCAACAATGAAAAAGTGACGTCATTGGAAGTGCAGGGGTTCACTCTTTGGACTGTAGAATTTGTTCCCAACTGATTTGAAGCAGTTTCATGGTGTCAAATGAATGCCCTGGAAGCTCGCTCCAGTCCCCGCGCTCCAGCACGGAACAAATAATTGGCATATTCTATTTTTTAGACTACTCGCCCGACTGGCAAGCTGAACTTCCAATGACGTCACGGCCCTGAAAAGGGCGGGTATATTTGAATGTCTGTTTTTGCATCATTTTCATTTGCCGATTTCGCAATAACTATTATGAATTTCACGATATTAAATAGCATTCCAGAAAGGGTAAAGGCCTGGGAGTCAGAAAATATAGTTAGTTGAGGTAGCTCAAAAATCGGCGGAGTACACCTTTAAGAGATTCGGAGTTGAGCCTCGTGTTCCCCTGAGTTCAGTATTATCTCTCGTTTTATTACTTTCCCCGCTCAACTTCGTATAGTCTTTTCGGAGTCGTTTTGGTATCTCCCCCGTAACGCATCTTTCGCTAGAAAAATATTGGCTGTTATATACGCGTTGCTGTAACTTTTTTTTTAGCAAGATGTATTTTTTTTAACGAAATATAGGGCACAGGTTAATTTAGACAACCTGCCACCAACCTGCATAAAATGTAATAAATAGGTTAATCAACGGCCCCGCTGGTTTGCTTTATTTAGGTGGGACTGGGCGCTGAACTTCGAGCCTTCGACTGTACTCGCTAGATGTTTTTTAAAGACCATTTCTAAAATTCTACGAGGTGTTCATAAATTATAATCTATAACTTACGACTCCAGGAAAAAAGAAAAGAAAAAAAAAGACACTCTTCGCTTCCAGCTGCCTTCTGCAGAAAGCTATTCACTATCGTGAAGCCAGGCGACACGTATGGCATAAGATGACGACCGTCATGCGTCAGCTGATCGCTGCAAAAAAACTCCTCTGACGCAGATTTCACGGAAGCGTAAAAGTAGACGGAACGCTTCAATTCGACTAAGCATCCCTCGGCGAAAGACATACCCTTATTCAAAACGTCGTACTTCTAAAACTCAAAAGTTCTTGGGGCAAATAGGAATCGTACAAACATTTATCGTCGAGTGTAAATTCTAAATGTTTTCAACGCGTATTACAGAATCGTGTTTCTTCGTGTTTGCGGGTGATTGAATAGAGCGAAAGCAGAACACAAGACGACTGGGAGTCACATACATGGCTCTAATCTATTTTGTAGTATCGAGATTCCATCTTTGGTTACCTGACCCAAGTCCAGCTAAAGGAAGGGGACCGATTCCCATCACTCACTCGAGTGTTTATTTTCTTGGGAGCGCTTCTTTTCACCTGCTCCTTTGTGTCCGAGGAGTGTCATGGGGCTATTTTTTGTGCCTTGCATCTTGATATAGTCCGCATTTGTCGGGAAATACTCTTTAATTACGCCAAATCGATGCGGGTTCATCGTGGGTCATTATTACTACTCTTCTTGGGGACTTTTGTGTGACATTTTGCGCCTGTTTTATTTTTTACGGCGTTTGTGTGCACTACGACACCGTTAATTACGATGGCCAAACGTGCAAGCTATCTATTAGGGGCTATCGCGTGGATTGTGAAAGGAGCTTTCTATCTAATGGAGCCCCGGTTGCACAGTATTAGAATCTGCGGGGCCCTTATTCTTTCACGATTATTATTTGGGCGTAAATGATATTTGAACTACCGTGTCTATTTACTTTTTACCTCGCGACACTACTGGATCCTCTGGACATTTAGTGCACTAGCGTACGGTAAAGTACTTCCGAACGGGACTGGGTATCACCATACATGTTTTTGTGTGAATGCTTAAAAAATTAGGCTTACGTAACTTTGTAAAAATGTGAGTTAAGCACTTATCTTAGCCTCTACTTTGATCTCGATCTCCCATGGAATACTTATTACGTTTCCTGCATGTTAACGCACCAGAAATGTCTCTAGTCTCTTTGGCGACCCGAAATATTTTCGGCCACTGTTTATTATAAATGAAAACATTATGCATGCTTAAACTCGCAGGCTATAAATGAGTCTTTTCTTACTCGTTCGCTTTTATGGCATTGAATGGCGGTTGTCGCAAGCAAAGAAGACTAATTGATATAACAGCCAACCTCTTTTTTTGTGTTGTAATCGATGTTCTCTTTTTCTTCTTCTAATAAAGAAAGAAATTAATATCCCAGTTTTAATTCCACTCCGTTCACGTCCCGCCATATCGGACTGTTCAGGTGACAACAGAAAAACGTCCCACTGTCCTGTGAATACTCCGTGTAATGTTGAGCCAGGGCACGATTCCCTCCGACTTGTAGTGGACACAATTTGGCGCCCCATAGGAGCGCGTGCAAAGCTCCCCTTGCCCCGGGCCCGCTTTATCGCTAATCCACTCTGTGTGCGCGCCCATGGTGTACACATTTGTGTCCGCTAAAAGGGGTGTGTGGATAGCCCTTGTCCGAGTGATATTTAATTCTAGGCAAACACGTTATAGGACCATTCCAATAATCCCCTTGTGCGCCATCATTGTCCACGGGGCTCTGAATTAATCTGAGCATGTGCAGGGCAGAATATCAAAGGCCGCGTCCACTGCCCAGTGACCATACAAGGAACGCGTGCGTCGTCTTGTGCGCAGGGCCGTCCCTGGAGATCAGCGGCTCGCTGCTGGCCATGTACGACAGCCTGGCGTCGAGGACGCGAGCCGAGCACCTGTCCGGCCAGTCGGCCCAGCCTCCCCAGCAGCGGGGACAGCGGCCGGCCCTGCCGTGCCAGCAGGGCACTCCGCTAAAGCGATCCCACACCCACCCGGCCCCGCTGCGGGAGCAGCAGCTCCGCGGTGGGCGGCCCCTGAGCTCGAGCTCCGAGTGCTCCTCGTCCTCTTCGTCGTCGTCGTCGTCCTCGCTGCCCAGAGGTGAGGCTGTGCGGCAACCCTGGAGTCAGGTTATACTGACGGGAGTGCCGAGCTCTGACTCGAATGATTAGTGGGTAGAGGTCTAGCTAGAAGCAAGGATAGCTGACCATGTATCTACTCGCAGTAAGAGCACGTTCAAACGGGAACGCCGAACACAAGGACACCGGCGTTCGAAGAGTGAGTACAAAGGCGGCTTGCTTTGCGCCTACCCACTAATCATTCCAACCAGAGCTCAGTATTCTCACGTCTACCCCTTTCCCTTAGTTTCAACCTGTATTGTGTTGTCCATTGTGTGGTACATTGTAGGGTCCACTGTGCTGTCCATTGTATATATAGTCCCCTGTGTGGTCCATTGTGTCGTCTATCGTGTTGATTGTATTCTTCAGTGTATGGTCTGTTGTGTTTATTGTAAGGTCCGTCATGCTCTCCGTTGTACATTGATTGTATTCATTTTAAGGTCCATTACAAGGCACACCATGCTTTCATTTTAAAGTCCAGCTGTGAGCTCCAATGGAAAAGTTCTTGTAGAGTTTATCCAGTTCACCATATTGTCTATTTTATGATCTTTTGCATATATGAACTCCCGTCCATTATTAGGTCGATCACAATGTCCCTCACCAGGTTCATCGTTTTCATTTTAAAGTCCATTACCACGTCCTTCATGAGGTCCATCGTATGGTTCATTGTAAGATTCATTGTAACGTTCATCGTCAGCTGAGCTCCATCTGTCAGCTCCATCGTGAGGTATATTTATAGGTCAGTGTATTCGAAACTTTCATAGCCTATAGGGGCATACTAGTTCCTACGAAAATGGCTGTCATCTGGGTGATCGCCGTAGAGCAGCACTACGAGGTTGGGTCTCCGACGCGTATGTAATTCTAATCTTGTAAAATACGACCGATATAAGAGCATTACTCCATGCCTCCACGCCAGCAAGCTCCTTCACTCTGAAGGTCGCCCGGGAGCCAGGGAGCGCGAGCTCTCACACCCGGCAGCACCATCGCTGAAAGTTGCGAAAACAGCGTGCAAATTCGTGTGCTCCTTGCGCGCCTCGTGCGTGTTTACTCGCACCTGTCTGTGTTTGTTTACCGACCGGAACTAATGACGGCCCTCAATGGACTGCCTCGTCATCGCGTATTCCCTGCGCGTTCTTTATGTTGCTCTTTCATTGGCGCACATTTTCTGTTGGGTCATTCCATGTCAAACGTCCCACGCGTTGCGCCTCTACCCTTTCCTATTAAAAAGAAAAAATCGTGGCCTTTTGCCGCAATGTCCGTAGCCATGCCCTGAAATATTTTTGCCGAAAAACATTTTTTGGTGACGTGAGCGCGGTTTTAACTTTTGAAAACAGCATGAAACTAGGCATCACTCGATAATTGATGAAAAATCAACTTTTCAGTGAAACACCCAAAAATATTTTTTCTTAAATTTGCACGGCTTTCTACTTAGAATGTGGTTGGGCTTGTAAAGTTTTGTTTAATTGAAATAGTTAAAAAAAAAAAAAAAAAACTTAAAAATGTACTATTTTGTTATTTTATCAAAAAGTATCTAATTGCTTCCGGGACTTAATAGAACCTTTTACCCGCTGTCCTGCAGGTATATACTCAATAAAAAAATGTTTAAAACCGCTCAATTAAATATCTCGCTGTAAACAAAAATCCTGATGTTGCAAAAAAGTGCGTTTTGACGCATAAACAGCCGTTTATTTCACCTTGAGGTGGTCCAAGTAAAAATACAGAATATGGTGTTTTGGAAGAACAGTCAATAATCTTTTGATTCTGAAAGTTTATTAAAGCGAGAAAACAATTTTTGAAGTTGAACTCTCGCACCACAATCCGGCGTCGCTTCTTAACCTCTTCTCCGCACAGCACGCCCCTGCGACGATAGCTCACACGATTAGGTCCGAAGAATGAAGGGAGTTTTCTGCCGCTTCCCTTTTCGGCTGCAAGGGAAGAAACGGCGTGGACTTCTCCCAAAAGGGAACGGGATGAAATCGATCATGCTGCGGTGAAAAGCGGAACTATTCAGCGACGCAAGAATTTGCCGTCTCAAAGCCGATTTAAAAACAAACGAGGCGTGAGCCTCCAACTGCGCGCATTCGTTAACACCGCATCGCCTCGTCGAATCAGATTGCCCGTTCACGGGGCTTTTGTGTTCCTGTCTACATCTGCGTGACGTTGAGAAGAGAGAGTGATTGCGATGTGTACGTAAGCAACAGCTAGCTTACTAGTGGATACTCTTACCTGGCAGCGTTAAGCATTTGCTGATATCAAGACAGTGGAAGTCCACAGGAGCACACAGCCGCGCAAAGCGGTCAAAATAGGAAAAGCCATAAAGCAAAAAGAGTAGAAAAAAGCCTCTTCTCACCAAGATGTACCCGACAACTCGAGGTCCTGCTTTCTACCTCTGTGCGCACACCGTGACACCGTCGCACGCTTTGTCGGACTTGACGGTGGCGTGCTGTGCAGAAAAGAGGCGCAAGGAGCGACGTCAGGTTGCGGCGCGAAAGCTCACCTTCAATATGCTTTTTTTTTTCTTTTTAGAACAAAATTACTTTAAACATTCAAGAACAAAAGGAAATACTCTTTTGTAGAAGTCACCATGTTACGTATTTTTCTTGGGGCCACCTTAGAGCAGAATTGACGGCTCTTTAAACGGCAAAACGCAATTTTGCAAAAGTTTAGTTGTTTTTTTTTTCAGCAAGATAATTGGTTGTACGGCCTGAAACCTTTTTTGTGTACAGTATACCTACAGGGCTGCCAATAAGAGTATTTACAGTCGCATGCAGCAAAGCCATAGTTTGTAACAAAACTAAAAATGTGCTAAAAGGCTCATATTTTCCTTTTTTTCTTTTTTTTTTTAACTGCTTCGAGCATACCACATCCCATGACCATGATCCTTATAACACAGCAGTCCAAATACCGTAGGGTTTTTAGGCAAAAATATTCCAGTGTTCCATAAAAATCTTACTTTTCATCAATTATTGAATGACTCGTAGTTCCACCCCCTTTTACTAGTTCAAACCGCCACCACCCCATAAAATTTGTTTTTCGTCAAAAAAAAAAAAAAAATGTTAGAGAGTGGCACCACAAACGTTACCGTGAAGAGCCATTAATTTTATTTTAGGAATCAGAGGTGGCCGTAGGACCTTTGCCCATGGCATGGAGAAGTCCTGGTCACTTGATGCTGCCCGTCGTTTGGGCATCGCGTTTCGAGCCGCCCTCGGGCACAAAGGGCACAACGGGCTTGCTCTTGCTACGCGCTGGCTGCACATCCGATTATTACACGATACGCGGCCGTTTCTTCCCTTGCAGCCGGAAAGACGGACAAGGGGAAGCGACAGAAAACTCCCTTCATTCTTTGGACCTAATCGCTTCGGCTATCGTCGCATGTGGCGTGCTGTGCGGGGAAGAGGCGTTAAGAAGCGACGCCGGGTTGTGGTGCGAGAGTTCAACTTCAAAAATTGTTTTCTCGCTTTAAACAAAAATTATTTTGATTAAGCTTTCCGAATCAAAAGATTATTGATTTTTCTTCCAAACCCACCATATTTTGTATTTTTACTTGAACCACCTCAAGGTGTAATAAACGGCTGTTTATGCGTCAAAAAGCACTTTTTTGCAACTTCAGGATTTTTGTTTACTGCGAAATAATTAATTCAGCGGTTTAAAAAAAAATTTTTTTATAGATTATATATCTGCAGGGCAGCCGACAAAAAGTTCTATTAAGTCCCGGGAGAATTTAGATATTTTTTAATAAAAAAACAAATGTTAATATGTAGAAAACAAATTAGTTCTTTAAAAAATATTTAAATTAAACAAAACTTCACAAGCCCAACCACATTGTAAGTCGAAAGCCGTGCAAATTTAAGAAAAAATATTCTTAGGTGTTTCACTGAAAAGTTGATTTTTCATAAATTATTGAGTGATGCCTGGTTTCACGCTGTTTTTAAAAGTTAAAACCGCGCTCACGTCATGAAAAAAAAAATATATTTTCGCCAGAAATATTTCAGGGCATGGCTACGGACATTGCGGCAAAAGGCCATGAATTCTTTTTTAGAAATCTGAAGGGGTCCAGCGCAACGTCTGAGGCGTTTGACATGGAATGGCCCTGTTCCGATGAGCCAAAGACTCAGCGTGAAACACTCGTTCGCCGTCCATTGATAGACTCCTATATACTGACAAAGCCTGGCAGATCGCGACGAGAAGCGGCCGCCGAAATGAAAAAAAGGTGGAGCGACAGACAACGGATGAGAGGAGAGCCACTTGACTGGCGCCCCGCTGCGGCGAGACGCAGAAACACACTTGTCCCGAGCGAACAAGTGTGTTTCGAGTCCTCGCCGCTGCAAAAGCATGTGCGCTGACGTCCAGGTTCCCCGAGAAATAGCTCTTTGGTGCTCTGTGCTACCAAATCCTCGCGCTCCAAATTTGCGACCGGGCGCTCCATGGCTCCGCCGTCGAACTGCCGGGCTTTGTGAGTATAGAGGAGACTATGGTCGGTGCATTTCTAGCCCGAGTGCTCGTTGGCGGACGTTGCAAGGCAGCCGCCTCGTGCTCTCGTGCACCCCACTGAAAAACCAAGTTGGTACGCCACAATCTCGTGGTCACTTCGTTCTGTTCTTTGTATTTGCCAGAATTCGACGGGGTCGCTCGTAGACGCTGTTACCAAATGTGCTGAGACAAAAGTGTCACGAGGAATTTAAAGAAGTATCGCGTTTCTTCTACGGAGTGTTGCGCCTGATGTCTATAGAGCGACACGCTAGTTACAAACAAGTTCGCCCACACGAGGTTTGGGTGAGGTTGCCACGATGATTTAAACCCGGGACTGAGGCAGAATGAGGAAGAATGTTTTTTACATTGGAAGAAAAAGTAACAGGGACAGACGTCTAGAGACGTTGTCTGTCCCTGTTACTTTTTCTTCGAAGGTAAAAAAAAAAGATTTTTCCTCCTTTTGTTTCAATCTTGGGTTAAAATCATGGTGGTAAACATCCAGCAGCTGGCCGGCGCGTTGACTGTACTTTCGCTGGTGGCTAAGGTGTGGCCGCTGCGCGTTCGCAGAAACCGTATTTGCGTGAAGGTGACGCGTTTGCGCATGCGCCGCACCGACAGCCGCGCCATCGCGGCGGCGTGTTTGTGCATCAGTGTGTCTCACTCCTTCTTGGGCCGAATCGTGGCCCGCAGTATCCTGTAGAGGAAATAAATCCCGCCTCGCAGGGCTGGACGTGAAGAAGTCGTACCTGGCGAGCATCGAGAGCCTGGAGGATGACGACGCGGGCCCCGGGTGTCGCTCCGGCCGGAGCCCCGCGGCCACGGCCCAGCTGTCGTGCAGGGTCCGTTCGTCGGGGCCCTGCCCGCACCGGGCCCCGGGGTCCCAGCCCTGCCAGCAGGACGAGGCGACGGGCGCGCCGGGCTCCGACGGCAGGGCCGCCGGGCCCAGCTACCTGGACAGGGTCCTGCAAGAGGTCGTGGACACCGAGAGGACGTACGTCCGGGACTTGGCTGCCATCGTCCAGGTGCGTTTCTTCCGTGCACCTTCGTTTAGATTCCAACTAAAGCAGGCTACGGTAGGGTCCCACTCTCGTACATCAGACAATGGACGCACGAGAAGGTCCATTGGAAACTTGCTCAGCGTTTGACCACGTTGCAGCGTTTGACTACGTTGCGGCTCTCAGAAACCAGGACATCCCTGCTCCTACCACTACGATTTTGCGGCGTAACCCGAGTGATGGGCGAAACTCAAACGACCGAGGAGAAGCCATCCGCGACGCTAACGAAGCGTGTAGTCTCGGCGGGCCTACCGCTGGATCAAGCTCTCTGAAACTTCGACAGAGACAAAACAGTTCAATTCTCAGGTCGTCACACCGCGGAAGAAATCGGATTCCTGCACGACATTGGGACCTAAAATCGGCTAGGTAAATTGCCTAAGAACCGCTCCGAGAAGCTGGTGGCCCTCGTAGTGAGGCCATGTGTGCCAAACTGCGCCAAAGCGCTTACCCTGGCACATCCTGCTACATTTGACCGAAATGGGGGGAACTTGCGCCGGGTTTTCGCTTAATTAATACAGAAAATATAATAAATCGGGCCCCGATACGCGGCCGGATGGTTACGGTATGCTTGCGCGATTTTCCAAAACGTTTGATTATCGCCTGAAATAACACCACGTTTGACTTGATCTCAGTATCAAGCATCGACAGTATACGTCGCAAGTTTCGCAACATTTCTCACGCTCCTTGTCTGTTCTGGCTGCATAACAAGCATCGTTGAGTTCACCGCGCAGTGGTGTAGAGCAGTGAAGCGACAACTGTGTAGTGGGCGTTGCAATTTGCATATCTTGCTTCTCCTCAGCGCACCCCCGTCCTAGGGGGAAGCACTCCCTCAGAGCGGGACATTAGACGTGGTTTATAAATAAAACCAAAGCTAAGATACAGATTTTTTTTAACCAGCATTAAATTCCTAATAAAGCGAGGGAATAGTTGTATGAATGTGGATTTCACTCCGTGTTTATATGGCTCGGCGGACATTAGATAACAATATCTCTCCTATCAAACTAATTAACTAGAATTCGTGACTTTTTTAATTACTGTAATAAGAATACCGTATTTTCCGGACTATACATGTTTAAAAGGTTACCTGATGCGGCCTATCCACTCGTGCGGACTATACAAGGTTTTTTTTCTAGGTCATTCGCTGTGACAAGACTTGAAGGATTTTATGAATAACGGAGTATGTTGACTTGGCTTCCTTGTGAGATTATACAGCAATCACTTGTCAAGGTGTATGATAATGTTTACGTTCGGACTAGGCACCAAGCGCGGACTATCGAAGCCGACACGTTTATTTTTGACACCAAATTTTCCCCTGCGGACTATGCACCGGGTGAGGACTAGAGTCCGGAAAATACGGCATATGTTTATATTACAAATTCTGAAGCGGGTCGTAGGCCAACACTGTTATATTTTGTGGGATTCCGGTATCCAGCCCGTGTACCGCGATGATTCGTCCCCGAATTTTGCACTTTTATCCGGCTAATGTAGCAAAGTTCGGTATAGTGCCCCCTTTCGCGGGTTGTAGAAACCACGAGGCTTATTTATCGTTGCACACACGGGCAGGTTGGAGGGAAACTGAGGTGGTGCTTAGGTCACGTGACGTAAATTTTCCCGCCATATTCTGCGGGGAACCTGAAATGGTGCATAGGCCACGTGACATCAATTTTCCCGCCATATTTTGCGGGGAACCTGAATTGTGCATAGGTCACGTGACGTAAATTTCCCGCCATATTCAGCGGGGAACCTGAAATGGTGCATAGGCCACGTGACATCAATTTTCCCGCCATATTTTGCGGGGAACCTGAATTGTGCATAGGTCACGTGACGTAAATTTTCCGCTCAATTTAGCGGGGAACCTGAATTGGTGCCAAGGTCACGTGGCGTCAGGTCGCGTGACTGGTCCGACCCTGATAGAGAGCGTAGGCGGTTCGACAGCGTCGAGACTCCCTCAAGGGCCCCACGAAAGTTGACGACTGTCCAGGCTTGCGTGCACCAGGCGACGGCAGAGGCTTCCAGGGGGCGGCTTTACTGTTCTCCGGACGCGGGCCGTTCACCCCCCGAGGAAACCCGAGGTGCTCGCTCGCGCCTCTCCACTCGCCGTCGCTCGTGTACACAGTTTACGATGGTTTACACAAGCGCGTCTGGGGGCCTCGCCTAGGGACGCCCCGCGCGGTTCTTCCCACGGGTGGCCGCCATTTTTTATCCTCCAGGAAGAGGGCGCCTCTTCCTGCTCTCGATAACGAATAGTTTCATTGTTACCGCTGCAGAGGCCACAGGGACATCGCAGTAGGAAAAGAAACGAGCCACTTGGAATCGATGATTTCGGATGATTAACGATGGGACGACGCCCGCCCAGAAGTATGCCACATCCTTGCTGCCGCAGATTGCTGGGGCTGAGCCAAGGACGCTTTGTTCATTTCGACCCATATTGTCACCGGTGGGAACGCCAGCTTCGAAAGTATAAATGGCTCGCGGTCTCAAGCTTCACCATCGCGCCTCCGAGCGAGGAGTGTGTTCGTTGGTCTCACTGTCGTGGACGGTACAGATCGACTCTTTTGCTTCCCAGACGGGATAGTTCGTCGACGAGGCGCACTTTTGCCGACGTGCGCGACGGAAAGTGTCGGTCTACTTTTCTCGATTGGCCAAACGTTGGATCACTACGACGTCTTGAGTAGAATGAATTCTGCTTTTACGAATGGAGCACGATAGCTCCAAGCTTCAAGCGTGCTCTTTGCACACGCCACGGGGATTGTCACGTGGAATTGGCCGTGACGTCACGGAGGAACCAGCAGAGGGAGCCACCGAAACATCTCGTGGCTAATCATAGGGAGTTGTAGTAGACCGTTTCCGCAGCCCGCTAAGTACCCGGATAGCGGTCCGCCGGAAGAGGCTCGAACATGCAGACAAGGATGGCGCCGCGCATGCGCAGCTGCGGCGTTTACTTTACGGATACCGTAGCGGAAGAGAAAAGCGATCTACTACAACTCCCTATTAGAAGCTTTAGAATGGCACACTCTAAAGTTTTGCGTACGCTAAGAATAGCGTCGTCGCCACCACGCATGCGCCGAACGCTAACCGCGCTATTTTAGCGTACGCTGTTTTTTTTTTCTTTTTTTTTAACTGCGCGCGTACGCAGAGTTTGCGTTCGTGCAAGCTTGGATTCGTGACGCGCGAGAAGTTGAGCCAAGACGAGGACACTTACGGCAGGACCGCGGCTCCGGCCGCCGTCGTAAGTCCAACGTGGGCGGCATCCTCGCGGCTGCCGGTTAGACTAGAGGACGGCACTGCACTCCTAAAGGGAGCTGCACGTCGCAAACGGCTCGGAAGACACAGCGAGGAGGGCAACAATCGCCGACAACTTGCTGCTTGCGACGTGCGAACGTTGCTCGGCGAAACGCCAACGGACGCGACCGGTCGACCGCTCGCGTCGCGTACTTAAAAAGGATTAAAAACTTGTCTTTTTCTGCAGGTTACAGCATTGGGTGTGTGAAATAAAACATGGTTACTGTATCTTGGTGCCGTTGTGAGCCCGAGATGCTTTGGTTTTGCGTCAGGCGGAGCAACGTTATTACTCTGCTTTGCCGCTACATTTAGTGCTAACGTGCGCTAAAATTGCGTACGTTAGCAGTCAGTTAGTATAGCGTTGCTGGCTCTTGCGCTCGCAAGAACTGCCTGCTCGGGCCGATTTTAGTCGTGCGTTCCGTAAACGTTGCCGAGTGAACATCTCGCGTGATTTTGTTAATTTAATTTGCCAGAGCCGTAGAATTCAGCGTGCTTACAACGCCACTGTGCTCCCGAATAGAAATATTGAGCATGAAAACGTTCCCAATAATTTTATTTCAAATTAAGCCGAGCCGCAGCTGCCTGGTCAACCGCGCTTATCAGCAAGGTGTACGAGTGCGTAGCCAAATTCCATCATGGAGGCTTCTTCAATCGTCCCGTGGAAACGGCCCCTTTTATCGATGCTATCGCGGACAGATCCAACTGATGTCCAGTGCACGGCGACAACTTGGGCGATTTTTCGAAGAGTCGTTCGTCCGTCGGCGATGAACTGCGAGAAGGCTTAACGTTCAGCAGATCGCAGCGTTCACGCACATTGCGAGCTGTGAACATTTCCACGGTGGATTCCGTCAGCCGCACGGCGACCTGATTCGACTGTCCCGGAAAGAATTGCCGAGCTGAACACCACGGAATGTCACGTGACTCTGAACTTAAGAACATCACGTCGCCCTTGCTACTCTGGCTGTACCATGGGTTGGGCAGAAATGCACTTAAAAGTATTTAGAAATACAACTACTGGGACGCATGGAAAAAACAACTAAAATACTGGTACTCAAATACATTTAGAAAAATGTATCGCGATACGTATCACAAATAAACTTGAAGAATAGAAAACTATTTGGAAATACAAATAGGGGAATACATTTTTGGTGGGGTTTGAAAACAGACACTGAAACACATCGTTATAAAAACATTATTTTTGATGTTTGGTGCACCCATTAGAGCGTACGAAGTACAAAAGAGACCTGCTCTTGAATTGGAGATTTTGTTTTTAAACCATGCAAGCGAGTTCTCACTGCATGTTGGAGCCTGAATTAAGCTCGAATCAAATTTACCGCAGAATTAACACCTTGTATGTTGGGAAGTGGTAAAGGAAGCGAGCGGTTTTATTTCGGCTTCTCTTCTTGAGACAAAATCCCAGGGACATCTAAATCAATTTTGTGTCCTCGCAAGTAACCCCGAGAAGTGACTAGGATTATGTCCAATCCGGGCGTCTCTTCGAGCAGCGATCTTATAACGTCCCCGTGGAGTGAAGTTCAAGGAACCCGTGTATTTTTCTCCGTTATTTTGGGCTCGCCGACAGAGCCTTCAACTTTTGGAATCGACTGGAATGGTCGACCGCCTAAAGTTTGGGAAAACATTCTTCAACTTTCGCTCAATAAAGAAGGGTGTCGTGTGCGGTCAGA